CACGGCACCCCCCCACCACCACTAAAAATAACCCACCCGGGCAGAAGGCCTTCCTGAACCAGGCGGCGGTGCCCAGCGTGGCCCGCGCTTTAGAAATGCTTCGAATGTGGAACAAGGAAGGCCGAACTGCGTGGATATTGAGCCAAAATCCCAGGGCTTTGCAAAAACAGCAGGTTAAAAGGATAAAAAAGATACGGTTTAAGAACTCAAGAGCCAACCCCTGTAAGCCGAAAAGTGCGCCGTGGCTACCCCCAGGAACACCGCTGTTACGTACACATTTGGAGATGGGGACAAAGCGCCCCGTGGACAACCGAAGGAATGTTGGAGGGTGTTCCACCAGTCCTAAAAGGGAGACCTGTCACCACTGTTGATTCAGGATGAATTAAAACCATCTTTTAAAATCTGTAATTGACGTATAATCTAAGGTCAGATTTGCTTCAACATTTTTTAAAAAGATAGTTTTAATCCCCAAAGGACAGGGCTTCTATTTCCAGGGAAGCCCAGGCACACCCGGCCAGGTTGGCTCTTCTCCCTGCCCTTGGGTGGTCTGTTTATGGAGAACTGCACCCTTGAGACTGCTCAGCAGCTGCTGCGGACCCCATCCACTCCCTCTTAGTGGAGCTCAGTCCCAATACTTAGCTGGGAGGCTGAGAAAACAGGAACGACAGATTTGATTCCCACAGGGAACGTCTGAGTTAGGATTCCATTTGCAAAAGGAAACTTAAAAAACCCCTAGCAACCCCTTTCCCAGAGCGCCCTCCTCACCCCTCCCTCCCCAAATCAGCCCCTCCTCTTCCTGCTCCTTTCTGCGGCTTTCCTGATATCTTTACTCTCCCCTTTTCTATTTTCTTTTACTCCTAGCACCTGCCTCTTCCTCTCCTTTCCCCTTGATTACTACATGCAGACATATTCTTTTAAAGTCCCACCACTATCATAGTGTACAAACGGAGCATTGACCAATTTTGCTGAGGAAAGTCAGAAGAGGAAACAAAATGCAAAACCAGAAGCATTCCAGAAAAAGAAAATGGGAAAACTACTGGTCATGTAATACCAACTGTCTCTTTTTGTTCTCTTTTTTAGTTTGGTTTGGTTTACAGGTGATCTACTTGGCTTTCCTCCAGAGGTGGGTGGCAGCAGCAGGAAGGAGCCTGGCAGTGTGGGAGGAGACAGGACAAGCGTCAGGGGAAGAATTTCCAGGTGTTGTTGGTGTTGGTTCATCTCCACTGGCGAGAGTGGACGTGCAGATACCTGCCACCTGAAGAACTCAGTCATCGTGTACATTTGAGTAACTTAACACATTGCTGACTTATTTGTACCACTGACTTATTTGATTTTACCGTGGCCAAGCTTAAGGAAGATAAAGGACATTCACCTGAAACTTGGGGAGGCCACAGATTCACTGGTGCCCTGGATGCTGCCCAGCATCCCTCCTCCTCAGGCTCCTGTGGGGCTCACTCCCCTGCTCCTCCCCCTTCCTCTTGAGCAGCTCCTCAGTCTCCTTCTCCAGCGCCTGTTCCTTCTTCTAAAAGCTGTGTCCACAACAACATGACTTGGGCTGCCATCTGTTCCTCTCCACACCCTATTCTTGCCCCTCCAGCCAGATGCTATGCATGGTTTCCACCTGTCACAGGTCTCTTGCTTCAGCACTCCAGTCCCTGTTTTCCAGTGGCCCTCTAGATACCATCACAGCACCATCATCCTATTAGTGCAAACTTTATGAATATTTAATTGCCAGGCAGTAAGCTACACCCTTTATATGCACTGTCTTGTTTTAATCTTACTGGGAGGTGCCAGCCTATGGAGAGGGAACTGAAACTTTAAGAGGCTAAATAAATTAGGTGCCCAAGACTGCAGAGTGCATGCAAAGCACAGTGGACTCTTAGTCCTGCCAACTCTTAACTCCACTCCTTCACCAGAACAGTAAACTTAACATATCCCACACTGAACTCAGATTCATCCCTACCCCCTGGCTCTCCTGGAATGTCCTTGTTTATAATGTTAGCACTACTATTCCTAAAACAGAAACTCCAAACCTGGCATTATCTTTGACTCCTAAAATAGATATGATGGGTCTGGGTAATGTGTCTGGATAATGTGTCCACCCCTAGATCAATCCCCTTTGACTAAGCAGCAGACTAGCTGAGACCTAACATGACAACTGGGGCCTTGCCTGAAATAGGGATTGTTCCCAGACAGTTGAGCACCTATGGAAATGTACCCAAGGTTCTTTCACACACACAAAAAAAATGTTTGCAACATGCCCTGCCCTTACAACATGAAAGTCACCATATAAAAAGAGAAGCCACAGAATAAGAAGCAAAACAGTATTGTTCTGCAAGAGACCAGCAATTCAATCACATGAGATGGAAGGCAATTCCCACACCTTGTATGAGTCTCTGGTGGTTAACAGTCAACAGTGATGTGTTCATGTTCAACAAAGTTCACTAGGAGGACTAGACAAGAACAGAAAACTACCCAAATGACCATTGGCAATAGACCAGATAAAATATGGTTCGTTCATACAATCGACTACTTCAGAGCAACGAAAATTAATGCTCTACAAACCCACACAGCAATACTGCTGAAACTCACAAGGCAAAGCAAAAAGAAGCCAGACCCAAAACAAGAGTTCAGCGTATGATTGCCTCCATGTGAAGCAAGAAAGAGGCAAAACGAAGGAATTCCACCTCAAGGAATCCACTGGAGGACAGCAGAGCAGCTAAGTGGGCTGGTAATGCCGTCTCCTGTGCTAGACACCGGGTACTCACGCGTGTTCAGATTGTCAAAATTCATCCAGCTGTTCACATACCCTATCTGCCCTTTTCTATATGTATATCATCCTTCAATAATATTGAAATGATGGCGGAGTGCTCAAATAAAGGCACCTTTAATCAGCCTTGAACTTCAACACCAAGATTATCCTAGAGTGACCAGTTACTGTCACCCCTGCCCCGTCCATTACCCCACCTTCTGAGAGAACCAGCAACCTTGGGAAAGAGCCACATTACTTACCACATGGCCTCATCTCCTCTGGCCCAGCCTGGCTAGATATCCCTCTCCTGGACACTTGGGAGTGGGACACTATGAAGCCGAGTCACAAGATCCGGTCTGCTTGATCTGACAACTTATACGGACTGGAGGAAGGAGTTTCTAGACGCGTGCACAGTGATAACAACAAGAAAGATGACCTGCAGGACTCAGAAGAGGAGAGCCCACGTACAGAGGAAAGCATATGATCCAAGAGAGATGGAGGGAGATGCCACAGAGGTGCCGACTTTCAGCCCTGGTTCCCAGACCCCAGCTTCATCAGGTACCCATGAGATTATTTGTGTGGCCTTATTATTAATAATAATAAGCTATCACAGCTTTTTGTTTCCAGCAATCAAATATGCCCTGACTGAAGTTACAGTATTCTTCCCTGGAAAAAACTGCACAGTTATTATGTGCTAGACACTGCTCTGAGCACATGTCACATATTATCTCATTTAGTCCTTTAAGGACCACACAGTAAAGTACCATGATTATTCCCATTTCACAGATGAGGAAACTAGAACTCAGAGAGGTTAAGTAACTTGCTCAAATCACACACCTAGAAAGTTGTAGTGCAGGTGCTGGACCCAGGCAGTCTGACTGCAGAGGCTGAAATCTCAACAACTACACTACAAGGTGGTTTAGGGAAACACTAACGACAGCACTGTAAATTGTATGCTGCATTAATGGACCTGACTAAGGCATTTGATTCGCTAAATTGAGTTCAATACAAAGGATTGCGTGTCTAGAAAAATTGGTTAACATTTCTTTCCTTCACAAGGGAATTTCAGTTTGAGCCATAGATGTTAAAACATGCAGAGTGTGATGAAGTCATACTGAACAAGACAATGTTCTCTCACCAGGACATTCTTTATTTTGCAGATTTCAGCAGAATGCTTAGGGAGTCCCCACTGATTGGTTTTCCCCAAATGGTTAATATCCAAGGGATATTTTAGTTCTATAGACGCAGAAATTGATAAGAAGTTCTTAAGTCTTAGGGAGTGAGGTGCTGGTGGTCACTTTCCATCTAGAGGGCTGCCAGACCCTGGACCACTCAGCAGAGATCAGTCACAAAGAAGCCACTGGTGACCCCCAGCAACCTTCAAGATTCAGTAACTGTCAGTGAGTTTAAGTCAGATAAGAACCTGTTCTATGTGTAATGCTTTGATTTTAAAAGAAAGTGCTGACAGCTACTATTTGAGATCTTTCCTATATATAAGTGATTGGGCAATTTTGTGGCTTATAATTAGAACAATGCATGACAATGTCTAGATTGGGCTCCAAGGTCACTCTTCTCTTCAGTCTGTCAGTGCCAAAAGAAACAAAAGGTCATCTTCTGAGGCTCCAGGACAGCACTCCTTACCTGCCAAGGGATGTTACCTTTTAAAACTGCCTAGTTTTTGTCTGGCAAGAGGAAGGGTATAGTTTAGTTAGTTCACAGATAATTTGTGGCAAGAACATTGAGTTAACATAGGCTCTAAGACAAAGCACATTTTATTGTCAAAAAATATTTTGGGGCCGAGGGTGTACTACAGGAAGAGGTCAAATTAGCTATCAGTGGATATTAGCTATCCAGCAATGGATATCAAACCACCAACAACAAAAGTTGATTCTGGAAATTTCGTATAATGATACAAATACCACTAAGGTCAACATACAGGCACCTAATGTCTATCCTAAATCACACCAGTTAGTAGCAAAACTGCTGGGTTAGACACATGGTGCCACAACATGGTCCATCTGCTCCAGGGACTTGAGTCATGAGAGCTCCAAGCAGAGAAAAGAGGTGGCCGAGCTCCAGTGTCACATTTGTATGTACAACCAAAGAAGTTATCCATAGACTCAAAAGAGCAACTGCTCACTAGCTTCTCTTTTTATATTTTTTTCCAAAAATATCTTTATTTTTGTTTATTTTTTTATGTGGTGTTGAGGATTCAACCCAGGGCCTCATGCATGAGGGGCAAACACTCTACCATTGAGCTACAACTCCAGCCCCTCACTAGCTTCTCTTAAAAACCGTGTGTGGAGCTGGGGTTGTGACTCTAGTGGTAGAGCGCTTGCCTAGTATGTGGGAGGGACTGAGTTGGATTCTCAGGACTGCATAAAAATAAATAGAATAAAAGGTATTGTGTCCATCTACAACAACAACAACAACAACAAAAAAAAGACACCTTGTGTGGATCAGGCACTCTAGTTGGCAAAATGATACAGAGGTTCTTGAAAAATATCAATTAACTTCTCAGTTAACCAATTTGGTGAAAGTAAAAATTAAAAGCACAATTTCCAGAAGTAATCACACAGTGTATGCTTTCAAAACATATATAACTTGGGCTGGGGATATAGCTCAGTTGGTAGAGTGCTTGCCTCTCATGTACAAGGCCCTGGGTTTGATCCCCAGCACCACCACACACACAAAAATAAATAAATAAATATTTTATTTATTTATTTTATTTTATATATATATATATATATATATATCTTATTTATAACATGATTTTATAGATGGCAAAAAACACCATAGTTTCTACCAATAAGATTTGCAAAAGAAAAACATGTAGGTATTTTTTAAGATTTTTTTTTAAATATGGACACAATATCTTCTCTATTTATTTTATTTATTTTTATGCGGTGCTGTGGATGGAACCCAGTGCCTCACATGTGTGAGGCAAGCACTCTGCGGCTGAGCTACAACCCCAGCCCCCAAAAGATGTAGGTTTTAAATCAACTCATGAAGACTTGCAACAAGATTTTATTGAAAAGAAAATTTTTCTCTATTTTCCTTAATATTATTCAAAATTAATTCTCAACCTAATTGGTAAGAGCATAATTCTAGTAGGAGACAAATAAATCTCAGAACAAAATAATCATTGATCCCTTCCCTAACTCAAGCCTGCAACCTTGCAAAACTATGACACAGGCTAAAGATAAAACCAAATGAAAATGTGACCTTATTTCTACAAATCCATTGATGGATGGGGCACTAATAATTAAAAACTCATCTATACTGGACAGAGTGACAAAATATTTCACCCTCATAGAAAAAGAGGCACATGTAGTTTACTAAAAAAAAAAAAAAAAAAAAAAAAAAAAAGCTTTTGTTAAGTAATGGTGATTAAACCCAGGGCCTCACACATTCTAGGCAAATGTTCTACCCTGAGCTACAGCCCCATCCCTTTCCACTTTTTATTTTGAGACAGGGTCTAAATTGCCTATAGCAACCTCAAACTTGCATATCATCCTGCCTCAGACTCCTGAGTACCTGGGATTCCAGGTATGCGCCACTGCTCCTGGCTAGAAAAGCATATTTTTAAAACAAAAATACAATAACTATATGTAAAATTAAGTAAACATGAAAACTCTGCAGACTTTCAGATCACTATGCATAAATTATTATTTTATGCACATTTAACTATGCTGAAATGCTCTTTTCACTTCATATTTGATTAGATTAAGTAATAAGCTTTATCAAATTGCTATCTGTATGTATCAGCCACTTTGAGTTCTTTGTTCACTTGCTTTTAAAGCACTATTATGTGTTTCTACATAATCATCTCTAAAGATACTAGCTTACTGGGTGTGGTCTAGCACACAAGTAATCCCAGCGATTTGAGCAGCTGAGGCAGAAGCATCACAAGTTCAAGACCAGCCTCAGCAATTTAGCAATGCCCTAAGCAACTGGGTGAGACCCTGTCTCAAAATAAAAAATAAAAAGGACTGGGATAGAACTCAGTGGTAAAGCACCTCTGGATTCCATCCCCAGTTACAATCAGTCAGTCAACTATTTCATCCCATGGTGTAGCTCAGTGGTTTTGAATGACAGTTCATTTGATCCATACACAATTTCATCAGAAAAGCAAGCTTGTGAGTTTTGAATACAGCTAAACCTATTCAATTGAAAGATGTCCTTCATTCCAAGATTATGTTCTCCTGTTTTTAAATGTCAAAAGATGCTTTTGTGAAATTATAGTGGTAGTAGATGAAAAATCTTGACAAAATAGTGAAATGTTTTGGTATTCCCTCCCCAGCATTTTTTTTTTTTAACTTTTCTGGTCCCTCACATCTAAAAGTGTGTAACTGCTAGTCTGTCCAACTACACCCTCCTGGCATTTTAAGGTATTCAGCACTCCCACCACCACCACTGAAACACACACACACAGGAAGCACTCCTGTGGTAGCCAGCCTCAGACACAGCCCCAGTGGTCCTGCACCCTGGTGTTCACAGCCCTGTGTGGTCCCCCACACACTGTAACCAAGGACCATCTGTGTGACCAACAGAAGACAGCAACAGATATGGTAGGTCACTCCCAAGATTAAGTGGCACAAGACAGCTGGTCTTCCATCACGGTGGCTGCAAGATTTTTCAAGATTTTCACTCTAGCAAAGGCTCCCCGGCATGTCATGACAACACTGTGGACTCGTCACTGGGAACTAAGGCTTCCTGCAGATGACACATCTGTGAGACTGGGGGCAGGTCCCCAGCTCCAATCAAGCCTCATGAAAGACCCTGAGCCAGAACCACCAGGCTAGACCACTCCTGTACTCCTCACTGCAGAAATGTGAACTAATGTCTGCATCTACAAGGACAAGTCTGAGAAAATCTGTTCAGGAGGAACAGATCATTAATATGACTCCTTTATCATATTTCAACTGCAAATTTATACCCACCCCATTCCCAAAAGTACACTGCAAGAGCTGCCCAGCCACGCTGAGGCCTGTGCTGGAAGAGGATCAGCAGAGACTGGTCCCCATTTCCCAGCTCTAGTTTACTTCCTCTGACTTTTCCCTCCTCAGGCGCTTTTTCCACTTTCCTCATACTGACCAGAACTCAGTAAACTAAACAATCCATCTCTAGCAAGGGGATCAATTCCATAAGTCTGTAGGCTTTGTGAAAAGAATCGTTCTATGTAAATATGATATTTTATGAAATTTTAGAAATCTGGTAAATTTCTATTGACAGAATCCCTAACCCCAGCTGTCCAAACCTTTACTAGACCCATGCCTAGCTCAACAGAGGAGCAAATCTCACATTTCACTGTGAAAACAGAAGGCAACAGAATTGAGTGAGCTCTTTTAAATACCTTCCTTCCAACTTTAAACCTATCTATAAGTACTGGTGTGAAAAAATATTACTGCAGCAGATGCCAGAGTCCCTCTTAGAGATGCAAAAAGAGCCTTATTTGGAAGACTACCTTGCTGTGATGCTCAATGTGTTGAAGAAGAAAATGTAGCTCAGAAACAAAGAGATGAATAAACAGATCTACACTAAAAGGAGAGGAAAGT